ATATAAATGTTAAGTTACTAATGCTTTAGTGTGGGCTGGGGTTAACCTGGGCCTCAAAATGGAGTTTTTGCCGGGTGTGGTGGCACCTGTAATCCCAGCACTTGGGAGGCTAAGATAAGAGGAGGCTGAGGCAGGAGGATTATTGTGAGTTCAAGACTAGCCTGGGCTACAAAGGGAGCTCAAGGCCAACCTGAACTGTATAGCGAGACCCTGTTTCAAAAAGAATAAACAAACAAACAAAAAGTGGAGTTTTTTTTTTAAATTGTCATATAATAATTGCAGATATTTATGGGGTACAATGTGAAGTTTCAGTATGTTTATACATTGTGAAGTGTGCAAATCAGGGTTATTAACATATCCATTTCCTTAATCTTTGATCATTTCTTGAGAAAATTATGAGGTAATAGTGGAAAGGGGAGTGTTAGGAGTTACAAGAATAACAGAAGAAGCTGTTAGTCCCGCCCCTTCCTTTTTACATGTGACTTAGGCTGTGAACTCTGATTCAGGTTGAAAATTCACCCAGGACAGCATGGTAGGGCTAGAATTTGAAGTAAGTTTATAGCATTGTCCCAATATTGGGCTTTCAGAAAAGAGTAACAGTGCACCAAAAACCTCTTCTTGCAGTTTTGGTCCATTGTAGAGGGGCTTGGGAGAAGAGGTAAGTGGTGCTGAAAGGAAACAGAATGGCTCTTTTGGGGTCATTGCTGAGAATAAAGAGTTTTATTAACTCTTGATATTGCTTTGGCTTTAAGGCAGGCTGCATATACTTACATATTCTAGTGTTTCATCATTTTAAAACAAAAAGAGAGGGAACATGGGAGAATTAAAATTTAAAAATTGGACGTTTGGGCTCTTTAATCTGATAGGGAAAAAGTTAAATTTATAGATTTATTTCACCTTTTACTTTTAGAATTTTTGTTTAGATTTTACTTGATGATTCTAAATGGCCTTAAGTGATCCCCAGCCTGGTGACTCTAAATTGTGAGTGGCTAGCCCTTCAAGTGGCTCCCTCTGGGGACAAGTGAGCCTGTACTGACCTCCATGCGTGTCTTTGCCTCTTTGGCCCCTGACCGTATCTGCTTTTCTGAAGCATCTTTGTCTGGGAAATGGCCTGGTGGGGACAGCAAGGATGAGGAGGCCAGAGCTCCCGTTCTCGTTTACGCTGTGAAGATAATAAGGAATGGTAGTCTATGGAGAAAGAGTTGCTCTGCAGCCTATACTGTCTCCCATCTCAACTTTGCCCTGCTTCTGAAAAGCCCTCACCTGCCCAAACCCATTCTCCTGCAGCAGATAAACACAAGGAATATCTACCTGCAGCTGCTGTTCTGTCCAGCCTGGGCAAATATGCATGACCT